CAGCAAGCCAAACTGAAGACAGGCCTGTTGTGTGCTGCAGAATGCTCACTTGTTCACTTGTAGTGTCCCGGGCCACCTTCCTGCAGGAACCAAGCAGGAAGTGTATGGGGGGACCTGTGTGACCTCAGGCAGCTCAGCCTTTGTAAACCCCAGTCTCCTCATCAGTAAAATGTAGGTAGGACCTACCTCCTACAGCAGTAGAATAACTCCCGCTACCATAAAAACACGATGGAGAAGCATTTTGAAATACTAACATAAATGATGTAGCTTTTTTTTTTTTTACTTTTTTTTTTTTTTTTGGAAAATGTAATTAGTTTCATATTATGGGAGTGGACAGAGAGATGCAGCAATTAAAATTCTAACAATTATTCACAGGACACTGACTGTGTGCCAGGCTGAAAGCAAAGTCCTGAACATCATGGATGCCTTACCTTTAACTCTCACCGGAAACTGTTCTCAAACTCTGCATGTCCAGGAGTCACCCGGGGATGGTGCAGAAATGCAGATTCTGACTCCTTAGTTTGAGGGCAGGTCTCAGAACGTGCACCATTCAAAGGACGTCGGTGTCAGTGGTCTGGGGAACACAGCTAGGGTGGCCAGGAATTGTACATGCTTCACAGGAGGCAAACGGAAGCCCAGAGACGTGAAGTGACTCGTCACAGCTCGCACAGCTGGTGAGGGTCAGAGTGAGAATGTGTCCATGGACTGGTTGCAGCCTCTTCATAGCTGGGCTGTGCAGCAGGGGCTGCGATATTCCAGGAAGAAGAATGCAGCTTGCTCTAAGGAGCTGGGACAGGTTTTAAGGAATTTTAAATGGAGCAGTAGAAGCTGGGTGTGGATTGCATTCCTGTAATCCCAGCCCTCTGGGAGGCTGAGGCAGGAGGATTGTGAGATCGAGCATAGCCTGGGCATCTTAGTGACTTAGCAAAATAAAAAGTATAAAGGAGTGGAGATAGAGCTCAGTGTGAAAGGTCCTGGGTTCAATGCTCAATTGACGGAGCCCGCCCTCACTAGTGGAACAGTACCTGAGAGGAGGGGTGAGGATGAAAGAAAAAACACACTTCAAAAGAAAAAAAGACAGAGTCATCTGGGCTCCCAAGACTGAGCTCCGAGTTTATTTTTTTCCTTCCCTCTTATACAACCCGTGAGTTTGTTACAGGTGAATTTGGTTGTTACAGCTGAGTTTGGTTGTTACATCATGACCCTCATCCAGGGCACCTGCTTCCCTGCTTTCCAGTCCCTTGGCAATTCCCCACCCTCATGGGCCTTCCCGTTTCTCGGGGCTACAGAACGTTCATCACATTCCAGGGCAATCTCTGAAGGTAAACATCCAATTTAGGTAAGGACGAGGTTCCTCATAACATAGTCTCCATACAATGGAGGGTAAGATTCAAAATGGAGTCTCCTTAGCTACCACCGCTCCCCACACTCAATATCCGAAAAGAAGAGGAGGAGGAGGAGGGGAAGGAGGAAGAAGAGGAAGAGGAGGAGAGGAAGGGAAGAAAATGCCCCAGGTGACCTTGGAATAAAGGCCAGGGAGGAGAGGTCCTAGAGCAAGGGCACAGGCGAGGGGTCCCTGGAGCGAATCAGGGAGGCCTAGTTGGAGTCACGGTCACGGGATGGAAGGAAAGGAACTAACACTGCAAGAGGCACCTTGGAGAAGCGTGAATGTGTGGCCAGTGCTGGCCCTGAGTTTTCCCCTCCATCTGTCGTTGCAAAGCAACCTTCGTCTCTGGTCACTGCCCAGCTTAGAAACCTTCCATGGTTTTTCACAACTCCAGGACACAGTCTGGTTCTTAGTTGGAAGGCCTGGCCTGGTTTAATGCTTTTGTTGTCTCTGTTACTCTCTTTCCAATTTTATTGAGATACAGCAGACAAAAACAAATGTATAGCTTTTGAGCAAGGACCTCCCATTTTTGTTTTGCACCAGGCATTGCAGATTATGTGTTCAGTTCTGTCCACAAGAGATAGACTCTGCTAACTTTCCAACTCTGTGTCCCCTCTGTAGTGGACTGAATTGTGTCCCCCACTAAATTCATATATTGAACCCCTGACTTCCATACAAATGTAGAGTTGGGTCTTCCTATCTGTGGGTTCTTCATCTTTGGGTTTAACCAGCTGTGGGTCAAAATATTTTGAAACAAATTTGCATATATCCTGACATGCCCTTCTTTTCTTGTCATTAGTCCTTAAACAATGCGATATAACGACTAGGTACAGAGTATTCACATAGTAGTAGATGCTATAAGTCAGCTGGAAATAAAGTACATGGGAGAATGTGTGTAGGTTCCATACACATACTACACCATTTTATATGAGGAAGATTGAGCATCTGTGGATTTGGTATCTACAGGTCCCAGACTGCATTTGGAAGTAGGTCATGGGGGGGGGTAATTTAGTTTAAATGAGGTCATGATTATAGGACTTTAATCTGAGAGGACCGGTGTCATTATAAGACGAGGTGGCAGGGTGTGATGTTGCATGCCCGTAAATGCAGGTACTTGGGAGGCTGAGACTGGAGGACTGCAAATTTGAGGCCAGCCTAGTCAACTTAGGGAGACCTTGTCACAAAACAAGACAAATAATAATAATAATAATAATAATAATAATAGGCTGGGGATGTAGCTCAGTGCAAAGCTATGGCTTTGATCACCAGTACTAGAAGTAAATAAATAAATGGATGGAGAAGGGGAGAAACCAGAGGTCTGTCTGTCTCTCTCTCTCTCTCTCCACACACACAGAGAAAGGATCACTTGAGGACATAGTGAAAAGGTGCTGTCAACAATCCAAGGAGAGACTCCTGACCAGAAATCTACTCTGCCGATACCTTGATCTTGGATTTCTGGCCTCCAGATCCATGGGAAGCAAGCCTCTGTTACATAGCCTGTGGTACTGATTTTTATTCCAGCAGCCTGAGCAAACCTATACATCCTCTGTGCACATGTACTCTCTGTCTACATAGTCTATGTTCCTTTTATTCTTACTTCTTGTCCTTCCCTGAAGCCCAAGATGCATGCTGCTCCTTTCTGTTCCCTCTGCCCAACCCCTCCAAATTTAACAAATAACTACTCATTCTGCAAGACCTTCAGATGACTCTCTGACCTGCTGAGCAGTTGCTCAGATGGTCTCTTGTATCAGCAAGTTGATGTCATGTTCCTTTCCAACCAGCTGCACTCTCTTGCTTATTATCTTGCTGAGTTCACATCTGTTCTCCTTCAAACCTGTGAGCCTATCCATTGATTCATCAACCCATTTACCTGTCCACCATCCATCCATCCATCCATGCACCCATCCATTCAGCTACCCATCTGCTCATCCACCTCATACAACACAAATATTTTGGGGGGAGCCCAACCACTTCTAGAATTTTAAAACTTTACTTTGCATCATAATGTATATTCAGTTTATTTAGGTAGGTATTCATGCATTTATTTTTGCACTGCAGGGGATGAAACCTGGAGGTTTACTCATGCTAAACAAATGCTGTACCACTGAGCTGCACCCCAACCCCTATCTTTTAGAAATTAATAGTATTTTTAGTAAAAAATCATACACTTACACACTTATGGAGTACAGAGTAATGCTTTGATATATGTATATATGAAATGATTAAATCAAATTGATTAACATTTCCATCACCTCTCTTACCTATTTTGTTTTCTGATACTGGGGATTGAAGCCAGGGTCTTTACCCTGAGCTATATTCCCAGCTGTTTTAATTATTTTTTTTAAATTTTGAGACAATGTCTCTGAAACGTTGCCCAGGTTGAGCTTCAACTCGGGATCTTTCTACTTCCTAGACTGCTAGGATTGTACTTGTGTGCCACCATGCCTGTCTGTCATTTTCTTTTCGATGGTGAGCCATTTGAAATCTTGTCTCTTAGCTATTTTGAAAAACATAAAGCATTTATTATTGACTGTGGTCACCCCGCTGTAATAGAAGATAGATACTAGGAAGTAGGGAGATCTTCTCAAAGGGAAGAGGGTCAAGAGATGGGGGAGGAGAGGACGGGGAGGGAAGGAGATGAAAACCGGAATTAAGACGTGTTACACACATGTACCAACTCCACACAGGGAATGGAAACCTTAGGTACTACAAACGTGGACTAATAAAAAGAATTTAAAAAGAGAAGAGTAGGGAATGTCCAATAAAAATAAAATTGATTTAGTTGAACATGGTGGCTCATGCTCGTAATCCCAGCAGTCAGAAGAAGTGAGGCAGAAGATCTTAAGATGGAGCCCAGCCTGGATAACTTAGCAAAACTTGCCTTCAAAATAAGAGGATCTGAGCAGAGATTTCAACTTCTGCAGTTCCTGGCTGGCCCAGCTCTGTAGAGCTGGTTGGAAAGCTGTGGCTTCCCCCTCCCCCTTCCCGGGAATGCAGGAATGCAGCCCAGAAGTGGCATTATTAGTAACTGAGACGTTTCACTGTCTTTAAGCTGCTGCTCCATTGTCTGCGGTCCGGGAAGGTGGGGGAGGGGCACTGAGGGCTCAGATCCTGGTGATGTAAACCCAGGTCTGTGTCCAGTGGACTAAGGGGTCGGGCTAAGGGGAAATGGATTCCAGAGTTGGGGGTCCGTCTCCCTGAATTCTGAGGTATTTCCCCCTACACAGGAGGCAAGTGATATAGGAGACATGTAACTTCCAACCTGCTAGATGTCAGATGTGCCGAGTTCTTGTCCCCCAAATATCGAATGAATTCCAAGGGACAAGGGAAGTTAAGAGTAGGAAAGGTCTATTGAGATATAGCTCCTGAGAGAAAGGTCCCTGAAAGTGGGGTGCCACTGAGGCCCTCTGTCAGGAGTAATTTATACCACAAAGTCACAACGCGGGTACAGTGTGGGTCAGACTACATCAGCCTATAAGGTTACAAGTATAGCTGCTTAGTTAATATTGATCCGATAGGGAAATGAGTCAAGTAGCAAGGTTGCATGAAAGAACAAAGGCATTTTGGGAAGGGATGGGTCCAGATGCTCTGGTCACCCACCTGGGCCACTGATGCTATATGAACTAGCACAAAGAACAACTGGGATCTCATCTTATTAAAAAGATTTTACACTGCTAGAGAAACCACCAACAGAGTGAAGAGACAACCCACAATGTGAGAAAAACATTTTTACCAGGTGTTCCTCAAAGGACTACTAACCAGAATATATAAAGAACTAAAAAAAAAAATCATAACCCCAAATGTAAAAACCAAATCCAAAAATGGGCATCTGAAATGAATAGACACTTCTCAGATGGAGAAGTAGAAACAGAAACCCATTTATTTTTATACAATGGCTTATTCAAAGCTAGTTCCAAAGAGATGGAAGAGCTGTATCACCTAAGTCACCATCTCACTCTGCACAGGTAGTTAGGTTTGTGGGACCAGAATGACTCCATTTTGTCCAAAATGGAGCAGTCTCCTTTGTTCTCTCAAATTTGTGCTTGATCTGGGACAAAAGACATGATCTGTAACTCAAGATTCCTAAGATCATTACTCAGCCATCTGTTTGCCCTAGAAACAAGTGTCCCGGGCCCACTATCTATAGGACAATCTGTTAACGTGCTGACTGTCCACACAAGGTGGTCATGACCATGAGTCAAGATGTCTGCTGACCATCAGTACGTGACAGTAGACCACTAACCTTTGTCCCCATTTTCTTGTAAAAACCTATACGTAATCCCCTTCAACCCCCAATGAGCCTAGCCAATCAAAATTCTACACTTCATACTTGCTAAATGTTAACCAATCATATGGCTGCTAATCACTGAAGCTTGCTGTAATCTCAATAAAAACCC